TAACTTTTTTATTTTTTCAGATAAAAAAAAGCGAGATTTGGTATGTTAGTATATGACATAAATTAGGATTGATTGACACATTCAATTGTTTTTGGTCACTTCCTGTTTCACCGGAAATGATTACAACTTTTAATTTTTAAATGGCACCCTTGCTATTTTTTTACTTTATTCGATAGAAAATAACACTCTGAATAGAATGACATATCATATGTCAATCTTTGACATTTTTGCATTTGATTTATTTGTAATTATAATTTGCGGTTTGTAACGAAAATTTGACTCGAAATACCGAATGTGTGGTATCAAATTATTCGTAAAAAAATTCTTTTTTCAAATATACTAATGAGCCACCCTCGTTCCATTTGAAAAAATTGAGATATGATTAAAAATACGATTTGAGCATTTTCTAACTGGCCAGGACAAGCCACTAAAAACATTAGACGATTAAATCTATTTTTCCAAGGCTCCTTGATTAAGAATTAGTGTTTTTAACATAGCCATGGCACTCTAGATTGAATTTTAAAATAAGATTTTTTATTAAGAGGGAATGTCAAAAGTTGACATATGATATAATATAATATATTGACATATGGCAGAATGTCATTTTATATCGAATAAAGTAAAAAATACCGAGGGCGCTATTTAAAAATCAAGAGTTGTAGTCATTTCTGATGAAACAGGCAGTGACCAAAAACAATTGAATACGTCAATCAATCCTAATTTATGTCATATACTAAGATACCAAAGCTCGTTTTCTTATTTTAAAAAAATAAAAAAGTTATAGGGGTGAGCCACTTTTGAGACGCATCCGGTATATCAGAAATTTCTGTAATATTTTGCACCAAACTTTATAATATTATTCAAGTGAAACTTTTAGGCGCGCTGGGAGTAAAAATTCAAAACCGAGCTATAGATATACACGAGCTAGCGAGACGAAAAGAGGTAACGACAGCCTACGGCTTAGAAGTTGTATCATAGATATAGAATATTATCTCATATGTCACGACGTGTATCTGTGAGCAGTCCAGGTGTTTATCAAAAATATTGATATTTCAATACAAATTTTGTGAAAGTGAATCAAATTATTTATTAATCTTAAAAAGAATTTCTTGGAACATTAGGTTCCGAAAACGCCGAAATTATGTTTTTTTTTAGTTTTTTGATCATAGAGCCAGTTATCATTTATAATAAGCAGATTGAAGGAAATAATTTTTAATTGTATAAATATACATCTAACAACAAGAAGAATTTCGAGCAATTTTGCTTTTGTATTGTTAAACTTGACAACATCGAATTTTTTTACTCGCATTCGTTTTGCTGCTTCATATCCGTTTGTCAGATAATTGAACTTAAATATCCGATCACTTAAAAAATATACTTTATTCAAAACGGCGCGAAATAAACTCAACATGTCAAATAAAAACGAAGTGAAATTGAAACAAAACAATCTCGAGGGAAAATGAGAAAAATAAAAGTTTCGTAAAAAGTAGTTCCTAACTTAAAAATTACTTTTCACGAAAGAAACTCAAAGCGTGATTTGGGAAAAGCAAGAATAACAAATGTTTCTCAGAAAATCTTTGATTTTTTAATTCAGTGGGAATATCTTGTAAAATTTCACAATTTTGTAATATATGATTACCCTTTTTTATAAAAAAAATATTGTTTAACTCAGAGACTTTTGTTATTGTAATAACTCGGTCTGTAAAACTTTTTAGCTTTTTTGTAACCACAAATAATTTCTGTCTAGCTAAACCCAATAACATACAATTGTTTTTAAAAATGAATTTCAAGCCAGCTCAATTTTTACTAGACCCAAGATTTTTAAGCTAGTTCATCCAATATTCTGTCGGCTTTATATTTCGTTATAGTTGGTTTAAAAACAAACTAAACTAACTAATTAATTCTGAACAGAACGTAAACCAAGATTTAATTTAAGTTTATATTTTAATGAGCTACTTAATATAGCATAATAAAATTACATTAAGTAAAGTAAATATGCTTTGGACTGTTGTAGTATAAAGTTTCCCTATTTTATAATGCTAAACGTTGTTAAAGAACGAATTTTTGAAGACTCCTATCTTTTATTTCTAGCTCTCTGTATTTGATAAAAAGCTTGTCAAATATAAATTCATGACTCTAGCCAGAACAAAAAGATCCGATTTAGTATACCGCATGCCGTAAGTAAATCTTGAACACACCAATTATTTTTGCAAAATATTTTGATATTGTCGCGACACGGGTTTATATCTGAGTTTCGATTAAAACAGCGTGTTTTAGGAACGTGTGTTTATTAATTACAAAAAATATTAAAATAAAATATTAAAAATATAAAATATATTAAATAAAATAATTAGTCAGCAAAGTTTGGAAATGTTAAGACTTGAGTATAAAAAAGGTAAGTACTTACAATAATCCGAACATTGCTGTCTACTCGTTCTAAGACTTTAAGTATCTGCCAGACTGTAAGACTCAGGACTAACTGTGTGACTCTAAGACTATTCAATACTTCCTGATCTTCTGTATCCTCTTTTTCTATCCCTCTTGTCATCGCTGATCATCGGCATTTAGGTAGTTGAACAGTTTAAGTATAATTATGTATGCTAGAATGAACTAAAACTAAATTAAATTTATAGGTAATTTTGAGCAATTTTGCTTTTGTATTGTTAAATTTGACATTATTTTTTTTTGCTCGCGTTACTTTTGCTGCTTCATATCAGTTCGTCATATAATTGAAATTAAATATCCGGTCACTTAAAAAATATACTTTATTCAAGACGGCGCGAAATAAACTCAACATGTCAAATAAAAACAAAGTGAAATTGGGACAAAACAATCTCCAGAGAAAAGGGGAAAAAGAAAAGTTTGGTAAAAAGTAGTTCCAAACTTAAAAACTACTTTTCACGAAAGAAACTCAAAGCGTGATTTGGGAAAAGCCAGAATAACAAATGCTTCTTAGAAAACCTTAGTTAAAATGAAGTGTTTTCCTTGTCGGGCGTCATTCGGCAGAATAAAGATTATTTTTTAAGGTTTTATATGGGTCAAAACGTTCAAAAAGTTGTGTAAGTTTAAACTTAATTTAAATAATATTTCATAGGAATATATTAATTTGCCGTTAATCTGATTTTATTCTCGAAAACTTGATTTTTTAATTCAATGGGAATATCTTGTAAAATTTCACAATCTTGTAACACACGATTGCCCTTTTTTATAAAAAAAAATATTGTTTTCTGCAAAACTCTGTGGGTAAAACTCTTTCAGCTTTTTTTGTAACCACAAATAATTTCTGTCTGGCAAAACCCAATAACACACACAATAAATGCCCAACTAGAAGTGTTTTTAAAAATGAATTTCAAGCCAGTTCAATGTTTACTAGACCCAGGATTTTTAAGCTAGTTCACCCAATATTCTGCCAGCTTTGTACTTCGTTATAGACGGTTTAAAAACAAACTAAACTAAGTAATTAATTCTGAACAGAACGTAAACCAAGATTTAATTCAAGTTTATATTTTAATGAGCTACTTATTATCGCATAATAAAATTACATTAAGTAAAGTATTATGCTTTGGGCTGTTGTAGTAGAAAGTTTCTCTATTTTATAATGCTAAACGTTGTTAAAGAACGAATTTTTGAAGACTCCTATCTTTTATTTCTAGCTCTCTGTATTTGATAAAAAGCTTGTCAAATATAAAGTGATGACTCTAGCCAGAACAAAAAGATCCGATTTAATATACCGCATGCCGTAAGTAAATCTTGAACTCACCAATTATTTTTATAAAATATTTTGATATTGTCGCGACACTGGTTTATATCTAAAAATATCTTAAATTATAAAATATATTAAATAAAATAATTAGTGAGCAAAGTTTGGAAATGCTAAGACTTGAGTATAGAGAAGGTAAGTACTTACATTAATCCGAACATCGCTGACTACTCGTGTTAAGACTTTAAGTATCTGCCAGACTTTATAACTCAGGACTAACTATGTGACTCTGAGACTATTCAAGACTCTGATCTTCTGTATCCCTCTTGTCATCGCTGATCATGGGCATTTAGGTAATTAAACAGTTTAAGTATAATTATGTATGCTAGAATGAACTAAAACTAAGTTAAATTTATAGGTAATTTTGAGCAATTTTGCTTTTGTATTGTTAAATTTGACATGATTTTTTTTGCTCGCGTTCCTTTTGCTGCTTCAGATCCGTTTATCAGATAATAGTAATTTCGGGTCACTTTAAAATATACTTTATCCAAGACGGCACGAAATAAACTCAACATGCCAAGTGAAAACAAAGTAAAATTGAGACAAAACAATCTGGATAGAAAATGGGAAAAAGAAAAGTTTCGCAAAAACTAGTTTCCAACTTAAAAACTACTTTTCAAGAAAGAAACTCAAAGCGTGATTTGGAAAACGCCAAAATAACAAATGTTTCTTAGGGGATTTTAGTTAAAATGAAGTGTTTTGCTTGCTGAGCATCATTCGGCAGAATAGAGAATATTTTTTAAGATTTCCGATGAGCCAAAACGTTCAAAAAATTGTGTAAGTAAAAAGTAAGTTTAAACTTATTTTAAAAGGTATTTACTAGGAATATATTAATTCATTGTAAATTTGATTTTATTTTTGTAAATTTGAATTTATTGATTCAATTGAAATATCTGTTTATTATACAATTTTGTAACATATCATTGCCGTTTTTTATATAATAGTATTGTTTTCATCTTGTAACTAAATGTTTTAAGGTATTTCACTACTACTGTAACGTATATTCTGTACTTCGTTAGTCTGTTTAAAAACAAACTAAATTAACTAATTAATTCTGAACAGAACTTAAACCATCAGGGTTTAATTAAAGTTTGTATTTAAAGGTCTACTTAATATAGCATAATAAAATTAAATTTAGTAAAGTATTATGCTTTGGGCTGTTGCGTTAGAGAGTTTCTATTTTATAATGGTGAACGATGTTAAAAATAAATTTTTGAAGAACCCTATCTTTAATTTTTAGCTATCTATATTTGATAAAAAGCTTGTTAAATATAAAGTGATGACACTAGCCAGAACAAAAAGATCCGATTTAGTACACCGCATGCCGTAAGTAAATTTTGAACCCACCAATTTTTTTTACAAAATATATTTATATTGTCGCGACCCTGGTTTATTTTTGGGTTTCGATAATAACACCATGTTTGAAAATTATTTATGAATTTTAAGATATTATATATACTGAATAAAATAATTATTGAGAAAAGTTGGGAAATGCCAAGACTTGGCATTTCCAATTCAATGCCAGAAGGTAAGTACTTACATTAATCCAAACATCGCTGCCCAATCGCTGTAGACTTGAACCAGGGGGGTGACAGTAAACCGGAAAATTGGAAACAGTTGTGGCGCGGTTCTACCCATGTTCTACCCAGGCAGAAAGCATGGCCTTCTAGACTGTCCTAGACAAAAATCTGAATATTTCTATATGATTTCTGTCAATTTCTGCTACGGAACATTTTTATGCACGTCGGCGTCCTGTTCTTTTGTCTTTTGTCTGTGTGTCAGCGTCAGCTCCCGAGGCCTCTGGCAAGGTCGGGCGCCATTTTAATTTTGCCGTTTAGATTTGATTGGAAGTTTGTTTCTGATATTTCGGCTGAAATTTATAAGTACAACGATGTTTTTGATATAAAGTTCCTTATTAACACTTTAATAAAGTATATATGATATTAATTACATGAAGAAAATGATGAAATCGACGTTTCTGCGTGTAGTAGGTATGGGCCATATTATATGTAAAAATAGGTAATATATTAACTGTTTTTATATTTTTTAACTTTAAACCCAAGGATCTTGGGATATTCTTTGCCAAGGATTTTTCCGTATCTCTACTTTAATGACTGATCGGTGATTTTGAGCAATTGAAAGCAAGTTATACAAGGTAAATTATGATTATTGAACTATTATTAGCCTACATTAATTTTCTACAAGATGAACAGAAATGCGTAATTACATAGGTATCACATAGGTACCTATTATGTATTTTCATAGCAATAATGCTATAAATCTATGTATGTAGATTATTTTTAAAATACAAATGAGGTATTAGATGTATATGTATCATATTTTTTATTCATTTTATTTTCATTCAAGCCCTGTTTGATTTAATTTACAAAAGTCTTATGTACCAATATTTATGTTTTTTACATATTTTTTTTTATTTTAGGTTTTGTGTGGGTTCCGGTTGCCTTTTTCCTGCTTCCAGTTATTTAGTTTTATGCCCGTGAAGCTGTGAAAACATTTATTTATCTTCAAGTTTCTGTAAGTCAATGCACTGTTACTTTACTAATTCACTTTAACACAGCATCTCTGATATTATTTAAATATTTGATACTGATACAGTAGTTTATTGGATTATAGCTCTTTAATTGTGTTGATTTGCATATTTACATTGTTCTAAATTCCAAATAAATATTTTGAGTAATTTTGTTGTATTATTTACTACTAGAAAGAGTAAAAGTATATTAACCCTCATTTAAACCTCCTGAACAGCCCGCCATTAAAAACCGGAAACGGAAATAAATTTCATAAAATTGAAATTGTCATGTCTATGTCATGTCAAATGTCCCAGCCGCCATATCTGAAAATTAGTTACCCAGGCAGCCACGCTGTTTCCATAATTTAACATTGACTTGACACTTCTTCTTGTATTTATTATTTTATGACTTGAACTATCAGCCAGACTGTAAGACTCAGGACTAACTATATAAATCTGAGACTATCTCAATTCCGATCTTCTGTATCCTCTTTTTGGATCCCTCTTGTCATCGGCTGATCATCTGTAGTTAAACAGTTTAAGGTATAATTCCACTGCCGATGCTCGAGATGAACTTCAACTTTTGATTAATGATGCCCGAGACACGCCCTGTATAATTATATATGATAGACTGGACAAAAATTGTCCAGTCTATCATATATAGAGTCATATTGATATCAAAATCAAATTGTCAATGTCAAAAAACTTTCAAACAGCAATGTTCATCCATATATTGACGTTACTTCAGAAATTATTTGAAAAAAATCGAAATAAAAATTTAATTTCTACACCCTGTACCTCCGAAACTAAGCATTTGCAAAATGTGCTGCCGAAGATTCCGTCGTATACAACTAGTACGAAAATTGGAAAAAGCGGCGCGAAATAAACTCAATATGTCAAATGAAAACGAAGTGAAATTGGGACTAAACAATCTGGAGAGAAAATAGGAAAAAAAGTTTAGTAAAAAGTAGTTTCCAACTGAAAAACTACTTTTCAGGAAAGAAACTAAAAGCGTGCTTTGGGAAACGCCAGAATAACAAATGTTTCTTAGCGAATCTAAGTTAAAATGAAGTGTTTTCCTTGCTAGGCGTTATTCGGCAGAATAGAGAATATTTTTAAGTATTTATATGGGTCAAAACGGTTCAGAAAATTTGTATATGTTTAAACTTAATTTAAAAAGATTTCATAGGAATATATTAGTTTATTGTTAATATATTAGTTTATTGTTCAATTTATCTGATTTTATTCTCCTAATTTGATTTTCTAATTCAATGGGAATATATCTTATTATTTCACAATCTTGTAACATATGAATAGCCTTTTTTTATAAAAGAATATTGTTTTCTGCAAAAATCTGTCTGCAAAATTTTCAGTTTTTGGTAACCACAAATAATTTCTGTTTGGCAAACCCTAATAATATACAGAATATATACCAAACTAGAAGTGTTTAAACTGAATTTTAAACCAGCTCAAAATTGAACCAGGATTTTTAAGCTAGTTCACCCAATATTCTGTCTGTTTTATACTTCGTTATAGTCGGTTTAAAAACAAACTAAACTAACTAATTAATTCTGAACAGAACGTAATCCAGGGTTTAATTAAAGTTTATATTTAAATGTCTACTTAATATATAGTTATTAACGTAATAAGGCCGATAAACAACAAATAACGGCCGGGCTGAAGTTTGTGATCCGAGGCGATAGCCGAGGATCATAAGCAGCCAAGGCCGTTATTTGTTATCGGCCGTGTTGCGTTCTAGATTTTTCGTCATACTGCAGATTTTTTAGAGCAATAAACACTACTATTTAATAACAAATTTTATTGAACAATAACACAAGTAAGGATAAAAAATACATAATGTCTTATACTAAAATTCATTTTTCATGATAATGAACATGGAAATTAAAAGTGCACTTGTTGTTCTTAGAAATCTGTAATCCTTCCCAGGGATTTACAGATTTTATAGAAGAAGATGATGCTACTGAAGAATGGCAAATATTTGTATCCACTAAAGACACATTATTTTTGGAGCTATCATGAAAAAGTTGATTTGTTATTTTCATTCTTTTGGAAACTGATTTTTCTATGTAAGTTTCTGCCACTGTTGAAGACTCCCATCCTCCTAGCTCCTTTAGCGATAGTAAATCACCACCATTTTCGGCGAGCATGGTTGCTGATGATCTACGAAATGAATGCCCTGTATAACGTTCTGGATTCTCCAATTTCAAAAATTTTGCAATTTTCTGCGGTACGCTCCCCGATGGTATGTATACCGACGATTTGCTTAACACACTTGCCTTTCTTGTAACCAATGAAAAATTTTGGATTGTCAAAGTTACGAGGACGCAGGTTGATGTACTTTTGTATAAACCATAGGCATCAAACGGAAGGCCCGTTTTGAAATAAGAAATTTCCTATCTTTCTTATTTTTAGTATTTCTTAATGAGACAAGAATATTTTTCTCCGAATCTTCGAAATCATCAACTGTGAGTGACCAAAGCTCGCTGCGCCTACAAGCTCCAAGAATACCAAGCACCAATACAATTTTTCGAGTAACCAGGTGTAATCATCGGCATCCAGTAGAAAATTATTTATGTCATTCTCCGACAGAACTTTGGCTTTTTTGGTGAATAACCTTCGTTTTTGCGCCTCAGAAACATGAACAGTTTACCAAATCTATGAACAAATATAATTTAGATGAGTATGATTAAATATCGAAGAATATAATGGCTTTTTACCTTGATATGTCGATGTTTTCATATACTCTCAACGCAAGCTTCAGCATGGATATCTTTGTCCACAGTGATGTTGGAGAATACATTTCAGACATTCTTTTAGCATAAGCCAGCAATACCGCTTCATTTACGCTGTTTATACTTCTATCCTGCCGCCACTTCAAAAAATTGTCATATTCCTGCTGATATCTCTCTCTGGTTATAGTCGGAAGTAAATTTTGAGTAGCCGCAGCCGCTTCCTCCTGTATTTCCAACGGAATTTCTCGCGACATCTCGCTATGGTCTATTTTCCCAATTTTTGAAAAGTCCAACTGACAATAAATAGTCATTGTTGCAGGTGACAGACGTTACGATTACCTTAGAAACTTAACGGCCGCCGGCCGTTATGATAACGTCCGGCGGACGTTATATGCATCTTTTCCATTCTGATTTTGCTTATGTTATAATAATATAACAATATAGTATGACGAAAACATAATAAAATTAAATTTAGTGAAGTATTATGCTTTGGGCTGTTGTAGTAGAGAGTTTCTATTTTATAATGCTGAACGTTGTTAAAGAATGAATTTTTGAAGAGCCCTATCTTTTATTTTTAGCTCTCTGTATTTGATAAAAAACTTATCAAATATAAAGTGGTGACTCTAGCCAGAACAAAAAGATCCGATTTGGTATACCGCATACCGTAAGTAAATTTTGAAGCCACCAATTCTTTTTACAAAATATTTTTATATTGTCTCGACTCTGGTTTATTTTTGGGTTTCGATTAAAACATGTTTGAAAAATGTGTTTTTATTAATTTTAAGATATTAAATATATTAAATAAAATAATTATTGAGCATAATTGGGAAATGCCAAGACTTGAGTATACAGAAGGTAAGTACCTACATTAATCCAAACATCGCTGCCCAATCATTCCCATTTCTTTCGCTGCTTCAGATCCGTTTGTCAGATATTAGTAGTTTCCAGTCACTTAAGAAATATACTTTATTCAAGACGGCGGCGGCGGGCGGCGCGAAATAAACTCAATATGTCAAATGAAAACGAAGTGAAATTGGGACTAA